CATGTCCACTCACATCCCACTGACCAATAGCCAGTCGCATGGCCTCAACCTAACTGCAAGGGAAGCTGGCAGATGCACTCTCAACAATGTGTGTCCAGGCTTGGCACCCGTAGTTCAGTGGTTAGGGCACCGGCCACATACACCAAGGCTGGTGGGTTCAAACCCAGCCTAGGCCTGCTAAACAACAATGACAAATGCAACAAAAAAAATAACTGAGTGTTGTGGTGGGTGCCTGTAGTCCCAGCTACTTGGGAAGCTGAGGCAAGAGAATCACTTAAGCCCAAGAGTTTGAGTTGCTTTGAGCTGTGACTTCACAGCACTTTACGGAGGGCAACATAAGTGAGACTCTGTCTCAAAAAAAAAAAAAAATGATATGTGTCCAGAAAGAGGAAAATAACAGTTGGCATTTGCATTACCACATGCATTCTTGAGTGAAGAAATGTTTGGAGGAGGAAATACAGACCTAGGTCTACATTTAGGTTGACAGTAGGGAACCCAGGGTCAAGAAAGCAACAAAAGCAACAAATCTACAGAAGAGTTGACCCAGAGAAACACCAGTCCATCAAGAGCCCTTGTTGGTGTTGTAGGGTATCTGGGTTCTTCACTGTATGTGGAATGTTTCCTCAAGACATCACATGGCTTATCCTTCACATCCTTCAGGTTTCTGTGCAAATGTCACTTGCTCAGTGAAGGTGACACCCATAAATCACTCCCAACCCCATAATTCTATACCCATGAAATTTGCTTAATTTTCTCTCACAAGTACTATTACTTGAAATCACATTATAGAGCTATTTACTCAGGTATCATATGCTTCTCTTGGTACTAAGAACCTGGGGGCAGACCCCATCTTTCTTTTATCCCCAGCATCTAGAAACAGTGCCTGGAATTCAAGAAAATTGAATGAATGATTGAACTAATCAATCACCCTGTGAGCACCAACACTCTTCATAGGGTCAAGACCCTTAGCAACACTGAATGAATGAGGAAACCCAGGACAAGTATACAGGTGGCCTTACAGGGCTCTGTGACAGGAATATTAGGGCAAGCAAACCCTGGGTTTTTGGAAGGAAACTCACCTCAACTGGCAACCTCTACCTACCCAATCCCACCTGACCTAACTCACCTCATACCAGTCCTCCATCACTCTCAACTAAACTCAACCCAACAAGGTGCATTAGCTGACAGATGGATAAGCAAAATGTAGCCTTCAGTGGAACAGTATTTGACAACAAACAGGAAAGCAGCACTCATGCGTGCTGGAGCATGAACCTGCAAACCATCATGCCGAGTGAAAGATGCCAGACACAAAGGGCCACAGAGTGTATGATTCCACTTATGTAAAATATCCAGGCTCGGTGCCTGTGGCTCAAGCAGCTAAGGCGCCAGCCACATACACCTAAGGTGGCAGGTTCGAATCCAGCCCAGGCCCACCAAACAACAATGA